CCTAAACCCTAAACCCTAGAGTCCCTCAGGCGAAGGGAGGCTCCTTTGGCTGCACCTGGGACTCTTCCGGGCCACCATCGGGGTCGTCCCACTTCACCTGGCTAGGGTTTAGGGTTTAGGGTTTAGGGTTTAGGGTTTAGGGTTTAGGGTTTAGGGTTTACGGGTCTAGGGTTTAGGGTTTAGGGACATACACACATACTGTTTAGGCCCTTCTCTCCCAGATGCACGCAGCGAATATTGAAGTTGAAGTGAGGCCGGGACTGTTTAGGCTGTCGGGTTTTGGGAGATATATATATATATAAACATAGAGGGTTTGGGGCTCTCTCTCTCTCTCTCTATATGTATATATGTGTGAGTGAGTGTGTGCATCGGGAGAGAGGGTGTGTGTGCGCTCGTGAATACGTGTAGATGTGTGTATGTGTCGATTAACCAAAAGTATTTGGGTATGGCTGAAAGAAATATATACATAGATCAGATCACATAATGTCGGTGTTCTTGTTTGTATGCATGTTAGTTCACCTGCTGCCTATTCGGGCCCCTACAAGGGCAGGGGGTCATCATGGGGCTACACCTAAACTGACCTAAACCCTACCTGGACCCTAAAGAACCCACCTTTCTAGGGTTCCTTATTATGATTTCTTCTTATAAGTCCTTAAAAAGGTAGGTTATTTGGGGCTAAGGTAAGCCCTAACAAGTCCCCAGTCACGGTGAAGCTGCCGTCATCGTTCTTCTTGGCCTGGGTCCGGGCTTCTGGGCTTCTTTGTTGCTGAAGCAACATGTTCAAGGCTTGCGGGTTTTAAAACTTAGGGACTTTATGGTTTAGGCTTTGAGGGCTCAGGGTTGAGGGTTTACGGTACAAGGGACCCCGGCCAGAACCCTACACCACGGTGCAGGGTTCAGGGTGCCCTACACAGGCTTGCTGCCCAAATGCAACTTCTGCAAGGTACCAGCCGCCGTCATCCTCAAACACCGCTTCGACCTTCTCGCCGACTTTGTAATCCTTTGGCGTTTTTGGAGCTTGCCGCGGCCAATCTTGGAAATTGCGCTGAGGCTTTTGCTTATCGTTGCCTCCGGCATTGCTATCGTCAAACGAGGGTTGAAGGGAACGCACTGCGGCTTGGCAAGGATGTTGCAGATACTAGGTCAGGTGCTTGGGCGCATGTTTCTCCATCGGTCCTGGTGTTCACGTGGCTCTACGATGGGACCAGGACCCTGAGAGGGAGCCCCAAAATCTAAAATGGGAATGGGACTTGAGAGGGAACAACTTGCGAGGTCTGCACCGAAGCACCTACGGAAGCACAAGAGGGTTTGGGGGTTTAGGGTACTCTGACCAAGCTTGATGTACTTAGTGAGCATTGCTCCCTGATAGCAAGATTCTGACGAACGAATCACCAGCTTTGGCAACCCAAGTTAGCATCATAAGCATACGGTGTCTTCAAAGGCCTATCCATAATCAGGCTCTCACTTCGAGAACTACTGTGATGGCAAACATCGCCAGAAACCAAGACTACAAAGCGAACGCCGTGCGCAAGTCTCAGTGAAAATGATGATCTTCTTGATGTTGTCGGCTGCGACGTCATGGCTCTCCTTGCATTGTTCTCCAGTATTATATTACCGTATCTTATCTGACATAATAGTACAGTAATGTTTGGTATAGTAAGCCCAAATTTGGCGGCGGGTTTGTGAGGCCCTTATGGCCCCTCTTCGACGTTTCCTAAGCGGGAACTGAGTTGTATGTAACCCCAGAGAAGACACCTGTTTCTACAAGACATGTTCGGGCGCTTATTCTGGATGGTAAGTTCTTGTGGGAGGGACATAAAACCCAAACCCTGAAACACCAATGAAGGATTTGGGTTCAGGAAGCTCGGCATGGGCAGATTAGGCTTTGTTTGATAGGCTGGTCTCTAGGTCAGGGGGAACCAAGCCCGCTCTCCCCTATCTCACCCCGCGGGACCCGAAAGCCTAAACCCTGAAGCACTCGCTTCTGCGGCTTCAGGATGCTACAGGATTTCGGTAGTAGGGAACCCTGACCAGGGCGACACAATCAGAATGACGAGGCGGCCGGAAAGTCAGACCGAAGAAACAGGTCGCATGTGCATGTAGATGTACAACCTGCTCGTCCAAATACACTGTTGTAATACTGTGCACAGGTGCGCCACGAATGAATGCTTGCACATGCCACATACCCTATAAATACGGGCCTTATCGTGTTCACCATAGGTATGGATGTATGTATGTATGTATGTATGTATGTATGTTCATATAATTCATATATATATATATACAGACATATGCATGTATGTATGTATGTATGTATGTATGTATGTATGTATGTATGTGAAGGGCATGTGTCTTCTTACAGCTGCCACCTTCCAATTGCAAAGATTCCCTTTTTGCACAGGCTTGCGTGAATCTCGCCTGGACGTGTCGCACCCGTTCTCTGAACAAGGCCCAACACAGAACGAAAGCACTAACTTAGAAATGAGCCTTTCATGTTCACCTTGGAAGTGCACTACTGGGCATTCTCATGTTGATGAAT